GAGTTATGTTTACGGTTACAGAGGTTCGAGTCCCATGTGGTCTACCGAGGTTCGAGTCCTGGACCCTGTGGCTTCAAACTCATGCCAGGCACACGTGCATGCCCAAGATCCTGAGAGAACAATGGAGGAGAAGGGATTACGGCATGACCACCCCTCTGGAAAGGGGGTAATGTCTCACTTTTCCTCTTACTGTCTCTATCTCTGTTTCTCTCTGGCAAGTGCATGCATCCTAAAGCAAAAACCTCTTTTTTTCTTTTTTGATTTTTGGAGTAGTTTTTGCTATAGGGAGTGTGTGCTTGCCAGAAAGACAGAAACAGAGAGACAGAGAGCGAGAAATCACCCTGTGGGGTATGGCCGCATTGCAATCCCTTCTCCTCCACTCTCCTCTCCGGATTTTGGTCACGCACACACATGCCCTTGGCGTGAGTTTAAGCCACTGGGTCTGGGACTTGAACCGCGATCGACTATATGGGAGTCCAGTGACGAAGCCATTATGACATCTGCTGGTCCCTCTCCTCTTTCTTTCTTTCTTTCTTTCCTTCCTTCCTTCCTTCCTTCCTTCCTTCCTTCCTTCCTTCCTCCCTCCCTCCCTCCCTCCCTCCCTCCCTGCTTGCTTTCTTTCTTTCTTTCTTTCTTTCTTTCTTTCTTTCTTTCTTTCTTTCTTTCTTTCTTTCTTTCTTCTTTCTTTCTTTTTTAAAGAGATTTTTGCTATAGGGCACGTGCACTCACCAGAGAGACAGAAATAGACAGACAGACCAAAAGTGAGAAATCACCCCCTAGGGGGATGGCTACGCCACAGTCCCTTTCCCCCCATTCTTCTCTCAGGATTTTGGGCATGCACACACATGTGCCCAGTGTGTGATTCAAGCCTACAAGTCCAGGACTCAAATTGCAGTTGGCCATGAGGGAGTTCAGCAATGTAACCATTATGCCATTTGCTGGTTCTTAAAAAACTCCTCAAAAAAAAAGGAGAGGCGGGGACCAGCAGTTAGCATAATGGCTATGTCGCTGGACTCCCACGTAGTCGACCGCGGTTCGAGTCCTGGACCCAGTGGCTTAAACTCACGCCGGGCACATGTGCGTGTGTGCCCAAGATCCCGAGAGGAGAATGGAGGAAAAGGGATTGTGGCATGGCCATTCCCCCCTGGGGGGTGATTTCTCGCTTTCTGTCTCTCTGTCTCTCTCTGTCTGTCTGACGAGCGCATGCGCCCTATAGCAAAAACCTTTCAAAAAAAAAAGAAAAAAAAAAACAGGAGGGGGGGGGGCAGCCTACCACCTGTTGGCTCCCAAGTCTGGGAATTTTGAGGATTAAAACAAAATAATGAGGTCCAACAAGTGGCATGGCAGTTAAGGGTGCTAGATTCCCACATGGCTGACTGCAGTTTGAGTCCCAGACCTGGGTGGCTTGCTTTCTCACTTTCCCTTTCACACTCTCTTTCTGGCAAAATCAAAAAATAAGAAGAAATAAAATAAAACAAATAATTCTTAAAAAGCACACACGCACACAAAATAACTACAGGAATGAATCATAACCCACTCTGTGAAGTAAGACTCAGGCCCGGCAAACGTGGTGCCGGAACTGGCCCCCACTCTGCAATACTGGAGCCACGGGGCCCACGGCGTTCAGATCCCCGCGGCCTGACATGGCCAGGCAGGCACACGTGTGCCAGAGATGCTGGCTCACTGGAGGGGGGATGAATCACGTGTGGCAAGACTCTGCTGTGGGTGTCTGTGTGAATAAAATGGTAACCTGGTGGACACCACTCCCCACACGAGTGAGCAGTAGAGGTGACAGCAATGAGGCAAGCTGACGTCGGGAGCCTCTTTTATTCACCTGTATTTTAAAAATTATTTTATTTAACTTTATTTATTTATTTATTTTAATTTGACTAGAGAGGGACACACACACACAGACAGAAAGGGAGAGAGAAAGTGAGAAGGCAAGCTGTCAGGTCTGGGACTTGAACTGTGATCAGCCATGTGGGAGTCCAGCGCCTTTAACAACCATGCCACCTGCTGGCCCTTCACCTGTATTTATTTTCCTCTTATTCTTTTTTTCCTTTATTTTGCCAGAGGGCATGTGTGCTTGACAGGGAAAGGCAGAGAAAGAGGGTAAGCACTCCCTAATGGGGCATGGTCATGCCGCAACTCTTCCTCCTCCATTTCTTCACCCTTCTGGAATATGGGGTGTTTACACACATGTGCCCACCATGTTTTTCTTTCTTCTTTCTTTCTTTCTTTCTTCCTTTCTTTCTTTCTTTTTTGGAGAGATTTTTGCTATATGGCACATGAGCTCACCAGAGAGACAAGAGACAGAAACAGAAAGCGAGAAATCACCGCCCAGTGGGGATGGTCACGCCGCAATCCCTTCTCCTCTATTCTCCGCTCGGGATCTTGGGCCTGAACGCACACGAATGTGTGCCTGGCATGAGTTTCAAGCTGTCAAGTCTGGGACTTGAACCGTGGTCAACTACATGGGAGTCCAGCAATGTAACCATTATGCCATCTGCTGGTCCCTCCCACCATGTTTTTCAAGCCACCAGAGCTGAGATTCAAACTGTGGTCAACCATGTGGGGTCCAACTCTCTTACCCACTAAGCCATGGGCCAGTCCAACATCACATGCCCCCTGATGTGAAGGACTAGCGGAGAAACAGCTCCCGAGGCATTCTTGCCAAAATGCATTACCTAACTAGTTACGCCATGACAGCAGCCAGACCCAAACGAAAAGCCATTCTACAAAATAAACAGCCTGTGTCCTTCAGAAATGCCAATGCAGGACCAGCAGGTGGTGCAGTAGTTAAGGCGCTGGACTTCCACACGGTCAGCCACGGTTCGAGTCCCAGACCCAGCAGCTTAAAACTCACGCCAGGCACGTGTGTGCGCATGCCCAAAATCCTGAGAAGAAAATGGAAGAGAAGGGATCTTGGCATGGCCATCCCACCCGGGGGTTGGAAGGTGGTTTCTCACTTTCTGTCTCTCTGGCGAGTGCACATGCCCTATAGCAAAAAATCTCTCAAAAAAAAAGAAGAAAAAAGTCAATGCTGTCAAAAATTGGGAACTCAGACAAACTGCCACCAATTAAAGGAGACCAGAGAGGCAGGCCAAGTGGCGTGGTGGGTAAGGCAGCTGGATCTCACATGGCTGAATGTGCAGTTAGAGTCCCGGACACAGTGGCCTGAAAGACATGACAGGTACATGTGACTGTATCCCCCAAATCCAAGAGGGAGTAAAGGAGAAGAGATTGCAGCATGGCCACCATCCCTGGGACTTGAACCGTGGCTATCGTATATGCCCTACAGCAAACACTAAAAAGCTAACAAAATAAATAAAGGGAGACTAGATACACGGATATTAAATGTTCTACATAATCCTGAAAGCGATCCTAGACCAGGAAAAAAAGTGTACAAATGACATTATTAGGACAATTGAGTAAATCCGAATAAGATCTGGATAGTAAACATAGGATTTTTTTTAGAGGTTTTTGCCTTAGGGTGTGTGCACTTGATAGAGAGAAAGACACAGTCACACAGAGAGGGCAAAGTGATAAATCACCCCTCGGGGGTATGGCCACACTGTAATCCCTTCTCCTCCACACTTCTCCTGGGATCTTGGGGACGCACACACACACCCGGCATGAGTTTAAGCCACCAGGTCCAGGACTCGAACCATGGTCGACTACATAGGAGTCCAGCAACGTAGCCATTATGTCATCTGCTGGTCCCCTCCCAGCGTGTTTTTGAAGCCACTGGGTCCAGGACTTGAATCACAGTTGGCCATTGGGAATCTAGTGATGTAACCACTATGCCATGTGTTGGTCCCCGTGGTATTAAATCAATATTCAATTTTCTTTCCATGAGGAGAAGGAGGTGAAGCCAAAAAAAGAAAGAAAGAAGAAAGTTTAATTTTCTGATTTTCTGGTTATATAAACCAATATCCTTGTTTTTAGAAAACACGCAGTGAGGGGGACCAGCAGTTGGCATAATGGCTATGTCGCTGGACTCCCATGTGGTCGACCGGAGTTCGTGTCCTGGACCTGGTGGCTTAAAACTCACGCCGGGTGTGTGTGTGTGCGTGCCCAAGATCCTGAGAGAAGAATGGAGGAGAAGGGATTGTGGCGTGGTCATGTCCCCTGGGGGGGTATTTCTCGCTTTCTGTCTCTCTGTCTGGTGAGTGCACACGCCCTACAGAGCAAAAACCTCTAAAAAAAAAAAAGAAAGAAAGAAAACACGCAGTGACGTACTGATGGGTAAATGGTTACGATGTTTGCAAGTTACTCTCAAATATTTCACAAAAATCATATAATACATACGAAGAGAAAAATGAAAACAGATAAATGTTCATTGTAATTAGTGAATCTGGGTGAAAGGCAGACAAGAATGTTTTTTAGCATTCTTGAGCTTTGTCATATTTCAAATTATTAAAGGCAAAATCTAAAAAATAAAATCACTTTTAATCCAATCTTCTCTTTTTTAAGAATTATTTAATTTAATTTTATTTATTTACTGACTTATTTTAATTTGACCAGAGAGGAACAGAGAGAGAGAGAAAAGCAAGCCACCAAGTCCAGGACCCGAACCACGGTTAGCTATGTGGGAATCCAGGGCTCTTAACCACCATGCCATCTGCCAGCCCCAGTCCAATCCTATCTTCCCCTCTACAGCTGTGATCTTGGCTAAGTCATAAAACCCATCAGAACTTCGCACAGATAGCTATGACGGCTTTCACGGGGCCATCATGCCTTCTAAAGAAAACAAGGGCTTTACGCAAACAGAGAGAGGGGAGATGGTCCGGGAGGCTTCCCTTCTGGACCTCCAGGGTCCCTGAACTCCGAAACGCCAGGGTACGGTGTGGACCAAAGACTTCTGGGAGGGTTTTCCGGAGGAGCTCAAAGGCGTCAAACGGGACTGCCCGCACCTGCGCGGCCTCCCACCTGACTCAATCAGCGCTGCCGATTTGACGAGGCGCCTCCCAGCCCTAATCCTTAGTCCCGTCCTCGCCCTGCCCTCGGCGCCGTCGCTGGTCCGTCTCTCCTCTCCCTGAAAGTGGACCTCAGACTGCAAAGCCGGGCCTTCTGGTACAGCCTGCATGGCCAGGTGCCCGGCTTGCTGGACTGGGACATGGGCAACGAGTGCTTTCTGACCTTCATCACTGAGCACCTGCCCTTGGCGGAGCAGAAACGTGAGTGCGCGGGGGCGCGGGGGGGATGGGCGGGCGGGGTCCCCAGCCCTCACCCCTCCCCACCTTTTTAATAGAGAGATTTTTTTTGCTGTGGGGTGCATGCACTCTTGGGAGAGACAGAGACAGAAAGCAAGAAATCGCCACAACTCCTCCGTCCGCCTCTAGGGATCTTGGGCATGCGCACACGCACCTGGCGTGACCCAGTCCTGGATTCGAACTGTAATCTACGACGTGGGAGTCCAGCGACAGAACCATTATGGCATCTGCTGGTCCCCAATGTAGCTTGCTTGTTTTCTTGTCTCTGAAATTTTTAAAAAATGGTCAGTTTAGTTCATGGCCACATCCCCACTTCTTAGTACGAGGCCTGATAGCTGGCAGTACTTGCTGTGTGGATGGTTGGCCATCATGGTCTTTATAAAACGCATTTTTTTTTCCTGTTTGGACCTCAAGCCAGGAGAGTTGACAGTAATCATCGTCCCATTCCCAGTACCCTTTCACCATCTGACTGAGGGCTTTGAGAGCTGTGTGTGTAAGGTTGGTCTGGTTTGTTCGCCTGGAAGTTGTGTAACAGTCTCTCATCTATGTATGTCACCTTCTTTATCTTTTGTTTGGAATTATTTATTAATTTCATTTATTCATTCATTTATTTTCATTTGACCAGAGAGAGAGAGAGAGAGAGAGAGAGAGAGAAAAAGCAAGAAAGCAAGCTATCAGGTCCGGGATTCAAATCATGGTTGGCCATGTGGGAGTGTCTAGCTCCTTAACCACCCCGCCACCTGCTGGTCCCCATTCTATATTTTTTTAAAGAATTGTTTGGTTTTATTTATTTATTTTTAAATTTGACCAGAGGGAGAAAAAAGGGACAGTGAGAAAGAAAGCAAGCTATCAGGTCCGGGATTCAAATCATGGTTGGCCATGTGGGAGTGTCTAGCTCCTTAACCACCCCGCCACCTGCTGGTCCCCATTCTATATTTTTTTAAAGAATTGTTTGGTTTTATTTATTTATTTTTAAATTTGACCAGAGGGAGAAAAAAGGGAAAGTGAGAAAGCAAGCCGCTAGGTCTGGGACTCGAACTGTTGTCAGCCGTGTGGGATCCCAGTGCCTTAACCACCACGCCACCTGCTGGCCTGCACCTTCTACATTTTAATACCCTCACACCTAGGGTGTCTCCAACTATTTGCCACCATAATGAAGCCTGGTGAATGTTTATACTTTGTTTTTTTAGAATTATTTTATTTTATTTTGACCAGAGAGGGAGATGGGAGTGAGAAAGCAAGCCACCAGGTCCAGGACTCGAACTGTGGTTGGCCATATGGGAGTCCAGAGCCCTTAACCACCACACCACCTGCTGGCCCATCATCATTGTTTTTCGATTCAAGACATATTTATTGAGCACCTCCCATGGGCCAGGCGCTGTTCCCGACAGTGTTCACAGAGCTTACCTTCTAGCCCGGACTGACAGATAATGCACATAGTACATTTAACAAAAAGTAGATTATAGAGCAATTTTAATGTGATGACCCGCGAAGGGAAAAAAGGACAGGATAAGAGGGCTTGGGAGTGGGGCGGGGAGGTGGCAGCAGCTCCAGTTTGAAATATCGGTAGAACATAATGTCTGGGCAAAGATGAGGGAGTGAGCCAAGAGCATGTTTAGTGGGAAAGTTTTCCAGGTAGAAGGATGAGTCGGTGCTAAAGCCCTAAGGAAGGAGTGTGGTGGAGTGTAAGGAAGGAGGCCAGGGAGGCTGGGTCTAGGTGAAGAGAGCTTGGAGGGGAGTGGATGGAGCAGGAATTCCTCTATCAGGATTTTAAGGACTTTGGGGTTGACTTTGTGCAAGAGATGGCCTGGCTGAAAGGCCTTGAGCAGAGGTGTGTCCCAGCCCCAGGGCTGCTTCATCAGGTGCGACCCCCCCCCCTACGGTTGCATTGGTGCCTGTTTGGTCTAAGCTGTCACTGTCTTGAGATTTGAAGTGATTTCTCAAGGAGGAGCCCCATACTTTCACTGCGTACTGGGCCCTGCCCATTCTGTAGCTGGTCCGGATGATTTACATCGAAAAGATCACTCTGGCTGCTGCTTTGAGGGTAGACCGTACACACAGAGCCTGGAGAAGTCTAGTTAGGAGCTGCAGTGGTAATCCAGACAGATAGCGATGGTAGACTGGACCAGGGAAGAGCAGAGGAGGTAGTGAGGAGGAAGAACTGCTAGATTTGCTGATGGATTGGATGTGGGTTGTTTTTTTTTTTTTTTTTTTTTT